ACTATTTAGATTTTCAGTTCTAATGGCTTAAATGGTAATACATTTTTAAGAAATTATTTCCTGTTTTGCTAGGTTAGAATGCATCATTGTCTTTATATCTCTTTCATGTTTCATTGAATCACAATAGATGTTTTGACATCTATTTATTTATCTAAGTATTTATGTTCAAATACTCATTAAGTATAATTATCAACTAACTCCCTACAGTTAGCATGTGAATAAAGAAGGTTTTGAAATTTTCTCAGAAAGTATGTTTCTTTAGTTTATCTTTCTTGTGTGTGAATTAGTCAAAAGTATACACTTTCTTTCCTATCATGAGGGCCAGAGTTATTTTATGAATGGTTTGAGTATTTACCTAGAGAAGCATGTTAAAAAGTGTTCAACATCACTAGTAATTAGGAAAATGCAAATTAAAACCACATTAAGTTTTCGTCTTACCCCAATCGGCCTGGCTAAGATCAAGAGAGGATGTGGGGAAATGGGAATGCTCATCCACTGCTGGTGGGATTACAAACTTGTACAACCTCTGTGGAAATTTGTTTGGAGAACTCTTAAAAACTACAAATGAACCTACCATTTGACCCCGTTGCACCACTCCTTGGCATGTACCCAAAGAACTCATCCTATTGCAGAGACACTTATACATCCATGTTTGTTGCTGCTCTTTTCACAATAGCTAAGAGATGGAAGCAACCTAAGTGTCCCTCAACTGACGAGTCGATAATGAAAATGTGGAGTTTTATTCAGCAGGAAAGAAAGACGAAATCATGAAATTTGCCAGTAAATGGATGGAATTAGAAACTGTTATACTATGTGAAGTAATTAGAAACTGTTATACTATGTGAAGTAAGACATACTCAGAAAAAAACAAAACAAAACAAACATGATGTATGTTTTCCCTCATAAGTGTAACCTAGCACCAAATCCTGATAAGTGAGTATGTATCCAGACATAACTACAGGAACCAGGATGATGAAAAGGAACCAGGGAAGTAAAAGAAAAGAAAGGATCTGAGAAAGAAGAACAGTAGGAAACAGGTGATAATAAGGGAGATATGGATAAAAATGGGGTTATTTTAAGGGGAGTGGGGAGGGAAGGTTATACAAGGAACCTAGGAGATAAATGGAAAGAAGGTGCTCTAGAGAGGTGGGAACACAGGAGATGGGTATTAAGGGAGAAATGGGAAAAATGGGGGTTCTTTAAATGGGGAAGCCACGGTCGAAGGGTTAGACGACGTGAGAGATAAATAATGCCTAACTAGTTTGAAAAAAATCAGAGGAAATCCTATTAATTGAACAACCGACCAACAATTTATATATACAACTAACTCAAGGAATATAATATATGTCTAGGCAAGGTTTATCTGAGAACATTTGGTCTTTTCCCAAGCTTTATCTACATGGCACATGGTAATTAAAAGTACCAGACTGGAGGAACTAACCTTCTTGGATGTTTAACAGCCATACTTTGAGGCCTATACTAATTTGGTCAGAGGGACATAAAGGACAGTTTTTGCTCTTTGCCCTCCTAGGTCAACTAAGTTACAAGGAACTATGAGCATCTCTCAAAACATCCTGTAACTGTAGTGAATCACTTGTCCTCTTGAACAAGGAGGCCATGGAAACCCTATCAAATGGACTTGAAACAGTGTCCAATTTACAAAGAGGAGGGTCAACACAGAGAAAACATTTCCTCCATGCTTCCAAGCGAAGGCAGATATGGTCGAGCAGGACCTTTGACTTGTCTTCACATTGGCGGAACTGGTGAAAGAAAGGAGCCAGGGCCTCCTCCCAAGCCCATGTGACCCCTGAGGAACAGATACTCAAACACCCTTAAGAGGAAAAATAAATTGGTTTATCTGGACTAACTGTATGGTCTTAAACACCTAAAAGCAAAGTATAACCAAATATTGAACTGGTCAATATAATTTTTAAGATTCCATGTGTATAGATAAAGGCTACATAACAAGCAACAATGCCATACAGGACATACCTTCTTTTGAGTTGTTGGCCTGGATGACCCAAGAAACTCCCAGACAGTAACCCAGCATAGAACTGGGAATATGAACAGCAGACCCCAGTCTTATCTAAAGGAATATTGGCAATTGATTGCTGCTAGATGAGGAAGAGCTGATCTTCCTAAAAGAAGGATCTTTAAATAGGCTGACTAGATTCAGTGGATGAACAAGCACTGGGGAATGGCTGGGGGCACCAAAAGCACAGTGGACAGTAACAGGGATGACAGAGTATATGGGCTCCAGTGGTGGGGGGAGGCTATGGGAGGGTGCCATTCGGAAAGTGGGTATATAGATGAATAATATTGTTTGGGGTGTTCTTATGAAATACACAAAAAATCAACAAATAAAAAATGTGTTATGTTTGAGGAAGAAGCATAAAAATTTGCTTCATGTTAATCACTAGAGGTGAAAAACATTATCATCGAAATCTACCTGATGACGTTATATCCATACTCAGGTGCCAAGGATACTACTGTAACCAACTGTGACTAGCGATAATCAGAAAAATAGAGATTAGAGAGGCATGTGCAAACATGTAAGTGTTCGTAGCATTAAAAATGAGTTTTCCTAAAGTATACAATCTTGGGAAGGCTAGGAAGAGAAAACATGACACATGATAGGTAAACATGCTCCAGTGCGCATACTCTTAGGTCATACATACACCTCAGCAACCCCTCAGTTATCTCCGTGAGTAAGCTCAATAAATTCGCTGGTTCATGAGTAAAACTTAAATCAAACATTAGCTTGACACTAGAACCTTAAAAGGAAATAAGCATTGCTTAGCATACCCAGGCAAGAAGTCTCACAACAGATGGAAAAGATGGAAAATTTATTTGTTAATGATATTATGTCTCATAATTATTTAAAAAAAAAGAAAATGAAAAAGACAAAAAAAAACGTTAAAAGGATATGGGAAATGGAGATATTTTCCAAAATAGAAAAAAATGAGAAAGCCTAAGCAAGTGATAAAGGTCTGTGCAAGTTTGTTATGATATATAAAAGATGAGACAAAAATAATATATACATAATCATAAATTTTCTATGTTCATAGTATAGTCAACTAGTTTAAGGAACAAAATATATATCTAGTCAAGGTTTATCTGAGAATATTTGTTTTTTTCCCCAACCCTTATCTACATAGCACATGATAATTAAAAGTACCAGACTGGTGGAACTAAACATATTGGATGTTTAACAGCCATATTTCGAGGCCTATACTAATGTGGTCACAGGGTCTTGAAGGACAGTTTTTGTCCCTTGCCCTACAAGGTCAACTAAGTTCCAGGGGAATATGGAACATCTCTCAAAGTATCCTGTAAATGTGGCGAGTCATTTGTCCTCTTGTTCAGGGAGGACGTGGAGACCTGACCCCACAAGATGGACTTCAACCAGTGTCCAGTCTACAAAGAGGAGGGTCAACACAGAGGAAACATTTCCTCCATGCTTCTAAGTGAAGTCAGACATGGTCAAGCAGGACCTTTGACTTATCTTCACATAGATGGAACTGGTAAACGAAAGGAGCCAGGAGCTCCTCCAAAGCCCGTGTGACCCCGAGGAACAGATCCACAAAAGCCCTTAAGTATAATAATAAATTGATTCATTTGGGTCAACTGTATGGTCTTAAACACCCAAAAGGAAAGTATAACCAAAGGGTAAAGTCATCAGTATATTTCTCTAAGAGTTCAAGGGATTACCCTTCCCAGTCATTAAGCTTAAGTCTATAAAGTTCTTTAGACAGTTATTTCTCATTGATAATTTTGTTCCTAACCAGAAAGTGCTGCTCAGATATAAGACTTAAAATCTTGGTCTCCAATAATGTAGTATGTAATGCCAACCTGTAGCTAAGAGAGACAACCAGATACTGTTCTAAAATGATGGATAAATTTGTTTTCTCCCCCTATCTAGAAGACTTTGAGAGGGAACTGACACTGATTCTAACCACTCCAATAGCTATTGAAATACTTGAAAGCAGATCTTGAACCCATCACTCCAGAGTTCAGCCTCGGCAGACAAAAGAAAAATGAGGAGGAACCCAATAGAGGGATGCTTTTGAAAACCCTTGTCTAGAAATTACAATGGACTCTCATAAGAACATTTGACAATTTCCCTGTTCTGACTTTTTTCTAGTCTCCTGTCTAGAACTTGTAATTTTAATTACTTGTGCCTTTACTTCTCCTTCACATCTCCTATTCACAATTCAAGGACTTTCTCTTCCCCCTAGAGAAAAGAGTTATGCAACTGGGAGTGTTTTAGATAGAGAGATTTTAGGTTGGCTCTTTTGCGGAAGTGCGGGCTGTGCTGTCAAAGCGGAAGCTGTGATCTCTAGTGCAGCCTATGCTTAGGTCTGGCGCTTCACTTTCTACATAACCTCTTCAGAGAATCATAAGAATAAGAGGTAGGAATTGGCTAGGCAGTTTGGGAGAAAAGACCCCAAAGAAAAGTAGCCAGTTTCTTGACTAAAACTCACAATGTCCTTGGGCTTCTTAGCAACATACTCTGTTCCAAAGGCCAAAACTGTCAAAAGTATTTGAGTGCTCTTATCTAATCCCTAAAAGATTGTAGAGTTACATCTTCAGAGAGGGGAACGTTAAGAGTAGCCAAAAGCCCATATAAAGTAAATAAATCAAAGAAGAAGAAAGAGCACATGAAGTTATCAGCAAAAAAGTGATGGGAAGATATGCGAGGAGTTGGAGGGGAGGGAATGGCCATGGATTTGATCAATACACTTTATATGCATGCATGAAATTCTCAATAATTTATTTAAAATAAATAAATTAAAAAATAAGTTTTCTGTATGAAACAGTATATTTTAAAATGAAACGAAGATCTTTGTTAAAGGTTAAATCCTCATTCAATTTTATGTCTTGTAGGGTTTATTCTAAGTTCAATGTGCATATGCAAACATCTAAGTGTTGGTAGCATTAAAAATGATATTGTTTTCTGTATGAAACAATATATTTTAAAATGAAATGCAGATGTTTCTTAAAGGTTAAAACCTCATTCAATTTTATGTCTTATGGGCTTTATACAGAGTTCAATATTGTATAACTGTATTAATTCAACTGTGAACCTAAAAATTTACAGTCAATTTTGAAAGAGATATATCTTAGCTCTGGAAATTGTTATTGAATATGTCAATGCTGTTGTAATGAAATGCTTCTTCTATGTATGTGGTTATTAAGTAAGTAATTTTACAAAATTGGCTCATGGGGTTGGGGATTTAGCTCAGCGGTAGAGCACTTGTCTACAAGTGCAAGGCCCTGGGTTTGATCCTCAGTGCCAAAAAACAAAAATTGTCTCATGAAACAAACAGAAAACTGTCAAACGAAATATTAACATGGCTGAAAATAATTTAAAAAAATTCATGGGTTGGGCATGGTGGCTCAAACCTTTAATTCCAGCACTTGTGAGCCACAGGCAGGCAAATTCCTTTGAGATCAAGGCCAGACTGGTCTACATAGTCCATCTGGGTCTACACAAAGATCCTGTCTCAAAGTAAAAATAATAAATAAATAAATAAATAAAGCTGTCCAACATCTTTAGCTATCATGGAAATGCAAATTAAAACTACCTTGAGATTTTATCTTACCTCAATCAGAATGTCTAAAATTCAAAAATCAAATGACAGACACTCGGGAGAATGTGGGGGAAAGGCTAACACTTTCTCGCTGTAAGTATGAATGAAAACTGATACAGCCACTATAAAAATTACTGTGAAGGAGCTTCAAAAAGCTAGAAATGTATCTACCAAATGATCTAGCCATATCACTCTTGGGCATAGACCCAAAGGACTCTATATACTATTATACAGATACTTTCTTGTCCATATTCATTGCTGTTCTATTCACAATAGCTCGGACATGGAAACAGCCTCGAAGTCCATCAACTGATGAATGGATAATGAAAATGTGCGACATTTACATATTGGAATATTATTCATCTGTAAAGAAAAATAATATGAAAAGCTCATGTAAATGGATGTTAACTGAAATTAATCATTCTGAGTGAAGTAACTCAGACCTAGAAAAACGAACATTATATATTCTTTCTCATATGTGGGTCCTGACTTTGAATCCTTAGATATGTGCGTTTACACTGAAGTGCTCATAGAAGTCAGGAAATCAGAGTGCTTCTAAGATAGGGGAAATGAATGCACATGGTATTAAGGGGACAATGTGAACTAAAAGAGTAATAAGGGTTATATGGGGTGGTGTATGGGAGGGCAAAAGGGCAGGAAAAGGAGGGAGTACAGGGAGGGATAACTGACACTACAGACTTCTAGTAGAAACCTAATATTGTTAGAATCTTCATAAAATCTGTACATGTACATATATAAGAAGTCTGTCTAAGTGGAGATACCCTATAATGGGGGAAGAGTGTCTATTCTAGATACCACAGGCTAGCAAATAAAAAATCCAGTAGTGGGAATGAGCTACTTCTTTTGGAGTTGTTGGTCAGAGGGTCCCCACAGACCCTCAAACATTAACAGGCTATTGCCATTGCTCTTGGTTACTCTCTAGAACTTGATGGTAAGACCTTATTGTTGAAGATACCACATACTTGAGTTATAGAATAAGGAGAATCAAGCTAGTACGAATCTGAAAGCTTCATCACTGCTGGCTAGCTTTCATACTGCTGGAAGGTGCTATATATATGACCAGAAGAGAAAGGTAATTATCATTGTTGCCCAACTGCAAACTCTGCAATCTATAATAACAATAAGCCTGACAAGATATGTCCACTGATACAATAGTGGCATTAATGTCATTGGAGTACCCAATCACTTTCTGGTTATATTTAAGGCCTGCTTCACAAGACAGAATTCATCACTGGCATCATTAATGGGGCTGAGAACCAAAGTGATAGCCTGGCTGTCAGACGCTGGTGAATATAACTTTTTACCATCAACACCATCACACCAAGAGCATGCGTAATACGGTAGTAGCAGAAGAACTTTCTTTCACAGTCCTAGAATGTGTAAATGCTATTTACCTTTAGAGGCACGTGCAGTCCTTTTGGGAACCTTAGGTACAAAAGGTACGGGTTGTGGAAGAGATCTTTTGAGGCCTTTCTTTTCTTTTACTTCCTCTTTTACTGTTTAAAAAAAGGAGTATGTTATAATAATTATACTCAAGCATTTCTATATTATCAGCATGAAGTATTTCTGTGTTATGCAAAGTTAATTGCATAACACAGTTTCACCAATAATGTCAATTACCTGAATTTTCATAAATAATAGTCTCACTGTATCCTATTCAGTTTTTCTACTAAAATAGTATATTCAACAGTGGGGATGGAGAGATGGCTCAGAGGTAAAGAGCCTTTACTGCTCTATCAGAGGACTGGAGTTTGGACCCCAATACCCATATCAGGCAGCTCACATATGCCTGAAAATCCAGCTCCAAGGAATCTGATGCCCCTGCTGTCCTCTATGTACACATGCACATATATAAACACACACACAGACACACACACACATATGCATATATATGAATAAATATTCAAGAACTATATATGGAATATGTCTAAAGTTCATTGATCTTGGAGTTAGCACAATTCTCTAAATACCTCAGAGGACAGTGAGGTAAACCACTAAAAATGGTGACTAAGGATGTCTGAGTACATTATTGCCACAAGCAAGAAAAGTTAAAAGAAATTGAACATGGGACACAGCTCGGTGGTAGAGCATTTGTTTTGTATGCATAAGGCCCTAGGTTTGATCCGTAGCACCATATGAAAGCAAGCCCTAACAAAAGTATTTTACAGAAACTGAGACAACATGTTGCAGAAGGCACTCTTGCATAGATGATATTAGCCTAAGGTTATGTTTGTAAATACTCTACGGTTTACTCATCATTTAAGCAAATGGACTTCTACCCAAAGCACCACTCTTTCAAGTATGATTCTGAAAGTTAAAACATCTTAAATCAGTTACAAACTGAGTATTTCTTATCTGAATGTTTGGTTCCAGTAGTGTTTGTTTTATTTTATTTTATTTTTTTAATGTTTTGGACTATTTCTAAGGACTTTAGCAGTTTGAATGTGGATTAGATAGGAAAATACCCTGAAATCTGAAACTTTCTGAGCAACCCAAATCTTGTTTTAGCCTCCAAACTTAAAAGGACAAATAAGGTATAATAGAAATATTTAAAAGTTTGAGAACAGAACTCTAAAGGAAAGAAATACCACAACAAGGAGGTAGCAAAATCAAACTTTCTCTGATTCTAAACTTTGACAGGGACTAGTCATGTCTCTCAATGTATGATGAAACTTTCATAATCCAGTTCCTGACTGATCAATCATGGTTCCCATGGAACTTCTGCCTCTGGATTTCTATTTTATCAAAGCCTATAAAACAGATTGTCAAACACATTTCAGTGCATGATTAAAATGTGGCTTATACAATTAGCTAAAAAACCTCTAAGGAAAGAAGGCTAGGGATGTAGTTCAGTGATGGAATGTCAAGCATGAAGCCTTGGGTTCAAAGCATAACATAATCAATTAAATTCTAAAGAAACAAATTGGTTTTTCATAAATCATTTAATGGTACAAAACTTTTGAATTCTATAGATTATATGTTTATCTGAGTCTCAGGAAGAAAACGCACCCCACTATTTTGTATGTTAACTTAAAAATAGCATTAAAAAAAATCTCGTTTACTAACAAAAACAATTGAAAACACTTGCAAAATTTCCAAATTAACTTTTTCAGAACTCTGGAAGTTAATTCAGTCCATACTCCAAATACTTTTTATTAAACAGAAGTAGCTAAATCTGAAACAGCAACATCAGTAGCACTTTAATTTATGGTATGAATCGTTTCACTCATTTTCACAGTACTTTAGAAAAACAACAGTTTCAGTCACTGGAGAGTGTAAAATGGGTTTGAAGTTCTTGAAAAACTTCATCTTTAGAGAATTATTACTATTTCAGCAATCTTTGAGTTCACTGAAAAGCTACTTTTCAGTGTTTATCTAATTAATGAATTAAATACTTTTCTATGTGAACAACTCTAAGCTGAAAGCATCTTCTGGGGATGACAGAGAAGCAACTGTTAAACTGTGCAGTGTTAAAAACATGGTATTACCAACTGGGCAGAGAGGAGGCTCATCAACCGCATGGCAGTAAAAAAGGGATAATAAGATGCATACTAGGCAACTTTGAAAAATACCGAATCTAGACGATCACATTCATGGGCTACACTGAACTACATCCATATCCCTGAAAGTCATTTTCAAAGTCATTTTCTGTGAGAGAAACTGATAAAGACTTAAAATACTTTAAAATGTTATGTATGATTACTCAGTGTATGAGTAACCTATCTGAAATCTAAACATCCTATGTTCAATTTAAAAGGAAAACCATACTTCATAATATTTCAAAGAATTTTCAAATTAAGATTTTAATCTTTTATTAACATATGTGTATATGTATCTGTGATCAGGTATGTGTTACATGACTGCAGGCACTGATGGAGGCTCCAAGAGGTTACTGGATCCCCTGGAGCTGGGGTTACAGGTGGCTGTGAGCCAACAGACAAGGGTACTAGGGACTGAATTGGGATTCTCTGGAATGCTTAAGTGTACTTAACTGCTGAGTCATCTCTCCAGGCCCTCTTTCAAAGAATTAAAAAAAAATCTTTCTGCATAAACCAAAGGCATTTTCCTTAATTTTGTTTTTAAAACATGAAATTGTACATTGTGACTTCTCTAACTCATGCTTTTTCTTCCCAAATTAATTTAGAAACAGAAAACTTGTCAAACATAGACATACAGAGCTCCCCACATGTAGGTAGTCATTCTCTTTAGGGCCATCTTCTGGACATTTTCTAATTCTCCTACCATTTTGGTAACCTCTCACAAATAGTAACATATGAGACCATGAATCTCCACTCTCCTCTTTCACAAATTTCTAGTAGCTCCACTGTTATTCTGGGCCAGAGAGAACATGGGTTAATTGTTTACATTCTCTACTCCCTCTTTTCATTTACTTTTGCTATACTACGGATTGAACCAGGGACCTCACACATGCTGGGCAATCACTCTACCACGGAGCTGTACTGTAGCTACAGACCTTTTACTTTTTATTTTGATAAAGTATTTCACTAAGCTGACCAGGATGGCTGTGAACTCAACAGTGTGCCGCAGGCAGGCCTTGAAAACTAGTTATTGCAATGTCTTAGTCTCTCCAATATTTGACATTACAGACTCTGCAGTTAAATTGAGACTCGGTGGATCAGTATTTTCCCATAAAGCTAATTAGCAATAGGACTTATATTAAAATTTAGGCCTGTCAGATTTCACATACTTTCAGTATACAGACAACGTGGTCAGCAATGGAACCAGAACCCAGGACTGATAAATTCCAATACCCAACGGCTATTGTACTTTTTCAAGGACTCCCTGTATCATACCTTTATTACAAAGGAATTCACTGTGCAGTTACACCAGCAGGGAAGAACTGGAAAGAGGACTCCAATTAGATCACTTTACTAAATCAGAGAAGGGGTCCACAGAGTTCTGAAGGAAGGTAGTGGCAAGAAAATGGGAGAGGATGTTAAGTAACAGAGAGGAGAGACTTGACGGAAGCAGAGGCGATTAGGTAGATGAGGAAACTGAGAATAATAAGGAGAACCAGGAAAAACAGTACCTGGAGATGGTACCCAAGCTTCACACTTGACAAAGATACAAATTTGAATCCTTGAACTTAATAGATTTGGTCGTGGTATTTTACGGTATGAGAATGAGCAGCATTTGGCGAGAAAACAATGCTGCTTTAACACCTGAGAACTTTGGCTACCCTTAAGACTTGTGTAAACTTCTGCTATAATCAGAACATGGTTACCTTTCCACAGTCATATGAAAAAGGGACAAACATTGCTTCCATTGACCAAAAACTTTAAAGATTAAGAAAAGGGGCTGGAGAGATGGCTTAGCCGTTTAAGAACACTGGTTCTTCTTGCAGAAGACCCAGGTTTGAATCCCAGCACCCACATGGCAGTTAACTACTGTCCTAACTCCAGGCCCAGGGATTCTGACAGCCTCTTTTGACCTCCGAGGGCATTGCAGGACACGGGTGCATGTCCCTACATGCAGGCAATACATGCACACACATAAAAATGTTTTAAAAAGCTAAAGATTAAGAAAAAAATTATCACCTTTAGTACTATAAGACTACATTACACACATCCATTTATTCAGACATCAGTTTGAGATTCTTATGGAAGATAGGTATCCAGGGCTTAAATGTTAAATCCGAGAAATTTATTCTTCATAATAAATAGGTTCAACAATCTCTGTTAATCTCTTTGAATTAAAGTCAATAATGCTAAAGCCATATATCAATCTAATAGAAAATGTGTAACTATAAACTAGTCACAAATAAGCCAAACATAACATATTGGCTTTGATTCTTAAGTTCATTAGGAATATATTAAGAAATTATTTCCTCATAAGTAAAAAATAAGTGAAAAGTGAAAAAACATCAACAATGGATTATACATGTCTACATTAGTTCATTGTGGCTAAATTCCTTACCAAGCACAGGGGGTAAAAAAACACTCTCTGAACTCCAGATATTATCAATTATAAAATATAAAATAAAAGCATACTAGGAGGCAGTGGATGTCCAAGCCTAGTTATTTCAGTTCAATCCCTGGAACACACAGATGGAGAGAACTGATTCCACAAAGTTGTTCTCTGACCTCCACTTGTGCACTATGGCACACCCTCCACCCTGACATGCATCACACATACACACAATTATATATATATATAATATATTTTCTTAGAACAGTATAAAATAAGTTTTTCTCACCTGGTTTGTTCTTATCAGGGTCTGCAAGGGCACGAGCCTTAGAAGAGCTGAAAGGCTGGCTACTCAATAACTTATCACATTGTAGATTGTGGCAGAAAGTTTCAAGAAAGCGAAGTGCAAATGATGCGCTATTCACTGGAGGGAGCTGAACAGCATGGGCTTTCCCATCAAAGGAGGCTATGAGGTAGGGTGGTAATGTCAGTCATCTCATGGACAAAAGAGAAATACAATCACAGAAACTCCATCAATTTAGGAAATGTGCTCTAAGTTTAATTTCTGGGTTTTGAAATACAAAAAAAAATGAATTGGTAAAAAAATCCTATTTAAAATATTCACAAATTAGACAGGATTTACAATAATGCTTCTAATCTAAGCATACCATGGCTGTACAGGTTATGGTATCTTATTATACAATCATGATGGCTAGTAGCTGCATCTTACTTTTCTTCCTCTCTAGGTATTTTTGTGGTTCTGAGAACCAAACTCAGGGCCTTGTGCATGTGAGGTAAGCACTCTACCACCGAGTTATATCCATAGATATTTCATCTTTTCTTAATGGGTTGGGGTTTTTTTGATTCACATTTCTATTTGAAGTTTCTCATAAAATTATTTTCCATACAAATTAAAATTTTTATCAACCGAGGTGCTGTTCTTAAATAGTTAGTTGAACTTTCCATGCTTTCATGGAAAAGGAAACATCTGTACCCTTTTCCTCAATTTACAGTAGTATTCTGAAATCACTTGTCTACTTTGGGTTTTGTTTGACACAGGGTCTCATTATTTAGCCCTGGGTGGCCTGCTACTTTATATACAGCCCAGGGTGGGCTCGAACTCACAGCAATCCTGTCTCAGCATCCTGAGTTCTGGGATAATAGACCAATTCCACCACACATGACTCACATTTGTTTATTGTTAAGGTAAACTCTCCAAGTCGGAGTTAAAAGTTTATAAACATATAACTATTATACGATTCTATCAGGATAACTAATATTACAGTATAATATAAATATTATGAATAATCTGTATGCTATAAAATCTTGCCTTTCTACAACTCAAATTAGGATAGAAGTTAGATAAAGAATTCTATTTGTATACCAGTTATCACTTCTCCTCCACGATTATCCGGCTCAAGAAACAGAAACACAACCTTAGCCTGAATGGCACAATCCACACAGGCCTGCACAATCCGCCGCAGCATCACGTTCACGGGGCCTGGGCCAAAGTGGTCAGGTAGCTGCTGAACTTTCTCCGGATCCAGAAAAGGGCCACAATCTCCATGTTTATTTACATAGACACAGACTTGAGGGAAAATATGTATAGAAACAATGAGATGGATTAAAATAAACTTTGTGAAAATATTATATAAGTACCATGTCCCACTAGTTTCAATGCAAA